CAGGCAAGCACTTATTCTACTGAGACATCTCCCTGGCCCCTAAAGTGCTATCTTTATGATGGTCTTGGGTTCAATCCCTCCTGCCACCAGCAAAAAAGAAAGTGCAATGGATGGAGTGCTAAGATGCAAGAGTTTCTTTCCTATGAAAGTACACTGAGTACCGTTAGCCCCAATATCATATGTTTGAACTGCTTCTCTCATATTTTTCAAGCATATTTAAATATAAAAGGTAAGTCATAAGAAAATATTTGAAAAGAAAAATTGTTATAATTTATATTCTCTTTCCTCTGTTGCATTGTATACCAATGATATTTAATAGGCATAAAATTAAACAAATTTTACTGGAAAAGCGTATTATCTTTATGTTACTTTAGCCATCCAAAATACATCTGAAATTTCAAAATTATTCTGAGCCATAAAATTGGAAGGAGGATAAAACTGAGGCTCAGTAATTTATGGACAATTTTCTCAATTAGATTTAACTATAATTTTCATGTGAGTGTAGGATTTGACCTAATTTTATACTCGTCTTAGATGATCTGTCTAGGGAATTATTCTTCTACATGAGTAACTCTTCTTGATTTCTAAAAAGCTTACGTTTGAATGAAAACCCGACCTAATCTAAAGAAAACACACACACAAGCTCACAATGCCAGCTTTTCATGGTATTTATAGCTCTGCTCTGACCCTCCGAGGTCCAGCCGCCCACTATTTCTGTACCTACCCTAGCATAGTAGGGGCTGTGGCAGATAATGATGGCTTAGGGCAGGTTATAGTTTGGCTCAGAATGCCTGAATTAAATCTGTTTTTACCCTTAGATCAATTGGGAGCTGAACGGAACCAAACTCATTTTATATCATCTGAAATAAGCATAAAAATGTAGTGCTTCACTGTATACAGAATAAAAAATTCATCCACAAAAATTTGTTTAGCTGGCACAATACATTGCTCAATAAACCTATTTTCTTCCTCATCATCACCGTTACATTTAATATAATTCATATTATATAAGTTTTAATTATTATTGCTTATTTTTATTATTACATTTATATGGATTTAACTTAGTCTAGGAGGAAATATCCAGTACAAAGAACATGGTGGCATTATTGGCCACATTTTTCCTTTTCCTTTTTGTTCTTTTCAGCCTCCTTCTACTTTCCGCATCTCTTTTCTTTTCCTATCTCTTTAATTGTGGGCATGTATGTGTATTCACTGTTTATATTGCTATTCAAGTATATTATATGAATATTTAGCTATATGCATAAGTATACACTTACATTTACTTATGCACAAATATATATGTACATGCATCTTCACACAGGCAATCTTATTTTTGTTTTCTATTTTTTATATATTTAGTACATGGTCTCACTATGCAGTTTGGATTCATAGTGATTCTCCTGTTTTCAGCTTCCCCAGAGCTAGAATACAGGCCTGTGATACCACGCCCAGTCTCGGTGGCTGGTTTAGTGTACTGGGGCACAGAGCCGACACTACATGTGGTGCCAGGGATCGAAACCCAGTCCCTGAGCTTGATAGCCAGGCTCTTAGTTTGCTGAGCTATCTTGCTGCCTATATAGGCATTATTATTCATGATAGTTATTTTCTTTTTAGGATACATTATGGCTTTCATACATTTAAGCCCTCAGTGTTATCTGGCAACCATCCTGAGTAGCAAAATTTCCAAGAAAAAGGATATACATGGGGAAAAGGTAGCACTAAGCAGACCGCAGGTGGGAGGCTTTTTGTGGTATGAAAGCTGCAATAGCAGGCAGAGTTCTTCCTTGTTTGGACTCAACTGGTAACCTCTGAGACACAAATTCTGCATTTACCTCACATGTCTGTGAGTGGCTCAGAGTGTTGCAAGTATTGATTTGGAGGCTACAAATGGAATTTTAGCAAAATTCATAATTTTAGGCAAATTCACAATGTAGGGTAAAATCTGTTTATTTGGGGACCAACACAAGTCAGAGGGGCTAGAGAGATGGCTCAGTGGAATAAGCACTTCCCTGGCAAACGCAAGGGCCTGAGTTCAATCCCCGGTTCTGAAAAAAAAAAAAGTCAGAAATCAAGGGGCATCTACCTACAATATGTGAATAACTTCAAAAGGCTTATGAAGATTAAAAATGTAGATACAAGTTCAGAATAAAGAAGAGCTAAAATCTGGTATGCAATATAAAGGAATGATTAAGAGAAGTTTTTTTCTGATTTAAATAGCTATAGATCATGGAAATACATTTAAAAAGAAAATCTATAAGAAAAGTTCAAATGTGGAGGGTATGATCCATTCAGTAGCATGACTAGAATATAATATTCTGAATCAGATGGAAAGTTGGATAGATGATATCCATTGGTCTTTGAGAGGTGTGAACGGTGACTGTTTGAAGGTGAGACTTAAAGGCACTGTTGTGACAGATTAATTATGTTAACAAGTTTAAACTGTGTGCAATGACTAATGGAAACCACTACTTATTAGAATTAGTGAAATAGTCACAGGACGGAACATGAAGATAGCATTTTGGGAAGACAATTTAGAGGAAACCTGCAATGAAAGGGAAAGAACTGGAGCTAGGCGCCATTGCAAGAACTCAGACTGAAGGTTAGAAGGTCAGAAATATAGTAAAGTCATTGGTAGGGATAAAAGGAGAAAAGTAATTGATAAAGGAAGTAAAGTACTACAAAACAAAAAATTACATACATAATGTTGGACTCCCATAAGGTCATGTGGGAGGCAAAGAATTCATACTGACATCCCTAGATTGTAAGTGCAGGAGATGAATTTTTCATCAGAGAAAACTGGAGAGAGAAGGAGAACTTCCTTGCTTGTTTCTTTACTTACTTTTTTTCTTTCTCCTTTGCTTTCTTTCTATCTTAGTATGAGGGGAAATGATGAATATAGAGTTAGAAATGAGGAGGCAGGGACTGTGAGGTGTAAAAGTTGTTTGTGGGAAACCAAAATTAACATCTAGGATAGTTATAATGCTCATCTCAATGGAAGAGACTAGAAATTCTGATGGAGGACTCTTTGGAAAAATAGAGTAGTGAGTAACGTTGACAGCATCTGCCTGCATGTGGCTCACAAACTAGTATTTTTATATTTGCAAGTATTCATTTATTCAATAGATGAATATTGATAGATAGAAAAGAAATGTGGTAATGGCATTAGTAGGGCTAAAAGGAGGAAAGTAAATGATGAAGGAAGTACTACAAAACAAAGATTATAGAAATATTTTTATATTATTACATGAATATGTCAGTGTACAAATGTATTCTGAGATAATTAGTTGTATTTTCAAATTTTTTTAAAGTTTATTTATTTGGTACAGGGCCTCACCATGCGGCTCAGATTGTAGTGATCTTCCTGTTTTCAGCCTCCACAGGGCTGGTGTTACAGGCACGCACCACCAGGCTGGGTCTTGGTGGCTGGCTCAGTGCTCCTGATGGCAGGGCCAGAGCTTCATGTGATGCCAAGGATCAAACCCCAGTCCCTGTGCTTGCCTCAGCAGGCACTTAGTCTGCTGAGCTATCTTGCTGGCCCTAATTAGTTGTTCTAAAAGAAGCTGAATCCAAACAACTGAATTCTACATATAAAATGATATTTTGAACTGGAAACATCCTGTCTTTTCAAGACTCTGTTAGTTAATAGTTCATGTGTCAGAAAATGTCACAGCCTCAGGAATGTAGCAAAAAGATCATTTCTCCTTCACATACTCACTGGTGTTTTGGGTCTTTGGTTGTGGAATGTATACCATGCAACTATTCAGAGGAAGATGGAAATTCTGCTCTTATCCAGTCAGGTTTCCAGGGTCACCCTCAGCATTCATTTTCAGCAATAAAATGGCAAAAGAAGGGAAGATCCATGGTGTGAAAATACTTTGTTTGCACAAAGGTTGAACATTACACAGATGACTTCTACCTACATTCCTTTGTCTGGAACAGCTCCCTGGCCACATTGAATTATAGGAAAAGCAGGAAAATATGGTTCCATGATGTCCCCAGAGAGAGCAGGAAACTGGTTCAAATTTGACAGTCTCTGCTAAATTCACTATAAGCCAAAAATGTTTTAGATCCTTTTCCTTATATGATACCTGATTTAGACTTCTGGTTTCCTACCTTTGTGTTCTTTATCAGTCTTTCAAAGGAGAACTTGGGTAGTTTAAAATAAGTGTGTTTAAATGTATGTCATAATTTGGTGTTTATGAAGTGATATACACAATTTTTTTCTTTTATTTCCTTTTTCTTTTCTTTCTTTTTCTTTT